TGTGAATGTTTTTCGTTTCTTCTAAACTGGAAATGTCTTCCTTTAAGGAAACAGGATCTGTATAAAAAGAAGGGGGGTCTGAAACCGAATGTAAGCGTTTAAAATGGCTAAATAGACTGTCAGCTGGAATATCGTTTTTGTTAGAGGGGGAGCGTTGTTTTTCTTTTAAAGATTTGAGGTAAGTCCAGAATTTCTGACTGTCTTTGTTTTGTATGAGGTCCTCAACTTGAGAATCTAGTAATTTTGCTTTTTTGTGTTTAACCAATTTCTTAAAGTTTTTACGCATGCTTAAGAAGTTACAAAAGGCGAAAAGACTAACAGTCTTTTTATAGATTTCAAGTCACAAAATATGATAAGCTTCTTCCTTTTGTGCGATCATTAGCGTATTAGCAGAGAGTAAAGGAAGAACAAGAAAAAACGACATTTAAATCTTAAGACGTCACTGATGACGAGGATAATGCGCTGGTCCATGAACTGACTAGAAGCGATAAAAAGGCAATGCTGTTATATATCTTAGCCAGTGGATGAAAATATAATTTAACAAACCAATTTTTCATTGAAAGAACTGGCCTTACTTATTCAGAGTCTTTACAAATAAAGACTCAAGTCAAATTTAAATCTCCGGTTTTCTAAGCAGGGAACTGATTTTCCTTGATAATAATTAGCGTGTAATGTGATCATGCTGTTACATTTATCATGTCATAAAAAGTATGTTCAGTGGGTTTGTTATACGGTAGCTTGTTGTTCATACTACAAGTTACGGCGAAAACTCAGAACGTATCGGGAGAACTCGAAATCGTTGAGTCGATAGGGTCAGCTGTGGTTCCAAGCGTGCATGACTAACAATCCCCGTTGGAAACAAAGAGAAACCTCTTTTTCAGGAGTACTTCTGGGCTAGAAACACCAAAAAGGGAAAATAAGTAAATAAATAAACTAAAAAAAATCGGATGTAGTACAAGGAAGACGTATGGTTGTATAAAATAAAGTCCCAAATTCAATTTCCTAAATGCAGAAAAATGCACGAAAATTCGGCCAGTGAGAGGGTTTTGTGGCGTTGGAAGAGTCGCACCACAGGGTTTTGCCCGCGAACTAAATAAAAGATTGGAACTTCATGTTGTCAACGTGTCGAGAGGTTATTTTCCGGCTCATTAGGTTCTGTGTACCTAAATATACATGTTATCCGGACATGACCCATATGTAATTATTTCATTATTTGACGGTGTACGCTGATCGGCAAAACGAAATAAAGTTCTTTTAATTATACACCCACACATAGCAGGACACAATTTAGGCATCTTGTGCATTTGAAGTCTCGGATTTTAATATGCTTATGAACGACTCTTTTTTATATCAAAATGAATTAGGCAGAGAAAGACTAGTCCGCCTGTACGTCAATATAAACACACATCAAAAGGAGCAAGGGACCAGACTCCGTCAGGCTACAACAAAAGGAACGCGGGGAGCCCTAGGTGAAAATAGGTGATTGTGGTCGCTTATAAAAAGAGTGACTTTCCGTCGATGCTCTAGCGAGTTTGTCGGTTAAAATTGAGGAAACAAAAATATTGCACAATCTTATTGTCTGCATTGTTCAATAGGCGTGAAATTATATTGATATTATAAACGCTCGAGAAACAACAGCC